GATGAAGTGCAAGAATGAAAATAGATTAGTTGGATGCTATGCATATGGATCCTCCACGCACATGAAGAAATAAAAATAGATAGTAGTGTTGAATTAAAAAATTAATTATAAGGTAAATATAAATTATTTAGAATATCACTTTAATTAAGGGTGTGTTTTTTTAGCATAATTTTGCCAAATTTTACTATTTAAACTCGGTATTTTTTTTAAAAAAATATATATTTTTTTCTCACAAAATATCCCATCAAACATTATTTTCATATCGAATCCAAACCAAATTTTTTTCAAACCCATCGAAAGAAACACACCATAAATTTTTTTAAAAAATTGATCTATTGATTTTTTATTTTTTTTTCCTTAAAATACATTTAGTAGGCACAGATTCTCTATGTGCAAAAATTAATAATAAATCAATAATATATTATAAGTAATTATAATTATGGAAATGATAATATTGGGGTGCAAACTTAAGTCCCAGAAATTGTAAAGAAAATTTTACACCTAAGTCCTAAATCAACTCTACTAGTATGAGGCATTTTGGAAAATATCCAAAAACAAATCAGTGCGGGTTCAGCCCAAAGCGGACAATATTATACTAGTATTGAGTTGGCTCAGTCCCCTACAAGTGATATCAGAGCCCGGTTTGATGGTGAAGTGGATTGGGTGGCATTGGACATTGGTTGCGGTGGTGGGCTCGCCCTCATGACCTGCAGATGAGCCTTGTGTCGAAAGTTTCTTGGCGGTGTTGGGTTGGTCCCGATTGAGATGGTCAGGCAGCGGGTCCCTTTGTGATAGGCGGTACAAGGTGAGCAGGGAAGATCCATTGATCCTTGGTTCGATGGAGGATTGTTGGGGTGCAAATTCAAGTCTCACATTGGAAATTGTAAAGAAAATTGGAGAATATCCCAAAAAAAGAAAATTTCGTATGAGGCTCAACCCAAAGCAGACAATATCATATTAGTATTAAGTTGGCTCGGTCCTACCGATAAAATATACTTAATTATAATAGATAGTGTTTTGATTCCAAATTTATATATGTCGTCATAACAAAAATAAAAATAAAAATAAAAACATTAGAGGAAATTTATTATTATTTTTATTTTTTTAAGGAGAATTGTATCTAAAGCTTGAAAAAAAAAAACAATCTCTTCAATCAATTTAACAATTGGGATCCAATACTATCATAGATCATATTATACTTATTTTCTCATTTGAGTTATTTTAACATGATAAATCTTAGATTGGATTTAATTCCTATTCATTTCTAACCATTGCTATTAAAGCTTCTTTTCTGTTGAATTATTATAATATTTTATTAGATTGATTAATATTTAATCATCGAATTGGATTTGTATGCAGGGGCTATGTGGGGGCATGGGGGCTCCCTCGCCCCATCCCACCCCCTTAAGTTTTTGTTTTTTATTTTATAACATATAATATAAAAAATAATAAACAAATTAAAAAATTGTTAAAAATTGATAGAGTATTTATGTGAAAATTAAAATTTTTAATTTAAATTTTGAATAAAAAAATTATATCATAATAATTGTTTGATGCTATAAAAATAAATATGAACAAAAAAGTAATAAATAATAATTATAAAAAAGAAAAATTTTCAAAAAATTCTCAACCAAATACACAGGAGATAATATTTTTAAGAGCTATTTTTTTTAATAAATGTTTTTACTATTTATTAATTTAATATGCAGTTGTCACTGTAGTTTGATATTTTGTAAGATTTTTGAAATATGATAATTCCATTAATAAAATTATTAAATAACAAATAGATGATGATCGTTTTGAAATTTAAAAAATTAGCCCCCTGTCATCCCGGTGTGATTCCGCCTCTGGTTGTATGGATTGAATGTGATCATAATTCTAATTCAGTCTAGAAGAATTATAAACTAGGATGCCACTTTACATCCAACCGAGGTGTATGAAATGTATTACGGGTGTGTTTGTTTGAAGGATTTTGGAGGATTTCTACTATTCATCCAATTTTTTCCCCCCAAAAATATCACATCAAACACCTATTTTTTATTTTTTATATTATACTAAAAATCAATTTTACATTCAAAACATCACATCAAACCCTATTTATATCACATCATACAACTATTCAAATTCAAAATTTTTACTATTCAAATCCCAATCCAAAATCCAAACCCCCAAACAAACACACCCTACGTATCTCTATATCATTAAAATATAGATAGAATCATACTCGAAATTGCTTGACAATTTGATACGCTTCTCCAATTTTATTTTTAATTTTCTATTATATATATATATTTTTATTTTTATCTAAAATTTTAAATTCATTCTCATTTTATTTTTAATAAAATATTATTTTCAGATCTCTAAATTTTTATTCTTATAATGTACATATATATGTATATATATATACATAAAATCAACCCAAATTAACCTATACCCATTAAATCCACCCACCCAATTAAAGAAAAAGAAAACCACTTTACTAAAATACATACAAAACCTAAAAATTTAATTTAACTTCTAAGAGCACCTATTATAATTATTGTTTCTACTATTTTATTATTATAATTATTGTGAGTGTATTTGTGGTATGAAATAATTTGAGTGAATATTTTTTTATATAGATATAAAGAATGATATAGATAATATAAAAATATTAAATGTGTGTTATATATTAATTTTTCTTGAAGAAATATATATTTATTTTGGCAAAAAGAATATATTTTATCTCTCTTATTCAGGTTATATTCACTTCATATTTAAATTACTTATTTCAACACTCGTAGTATATCATTTTCAATTTATTACCTTTAGTATTTTATAAAATTTATAAAACTTATTTAAAGTAAATTATATAGACTTCGTTGTATTTAAGTAAAAATGTATAAAATATTTCGCATTTTACTTATTGCTTAAAATTCTTTTGATTAAATTAAAATATGCTCAAAATATTTTTTTTTTCAAAATTGATGTTTAATTGTAAATATAGACAAAAATTATGTAAGTTTTATAAAAATAAAAATATAAATATTTAAAATAATTTTTATAAATAAATAATTGATCAATTTTTATTTTTTATAATTTTTATAAAATTAAAATTATATGATAAATTATCCCATTTAAAAAAGAATAAATAATATGGTGTTATGTAATAATATGCACACAATCTTATTTAACATTACATATTAATACGTGGTAAGAAACTGTAGTTATTTGTGATTCCAATGTGAGTATATATGTAATATAGATATATAAACAGACCTACAGATTTTTAAATATTACCAGCATAATTATATGCATAAGATATTTTTAAAATTTTTTATACTATTCAATAATATATTTTTCTATATAAAGTATATGGGTGTAATTTAATTACACCATGGATCTTTTCATAAGCTGTGTTTGTTTATATTTTCTAACTAGTAATATTTTCAATTTGAATATTTCCTTTTAGTGAAATTTAATTTTAAATAAGTTTATATGTACAATTTTTGTTTTGATTTGACTATTCTATACATATATATTTTTTAAAAATATCAAATAAAATATTTATTTTTTATTTATTATATTAAATTAAAATTTAATTTTATATCTAAATTATTAAATTAATACATATTTATATAATACTTCTTCTGTCCCAGATACTGTGTATGCTACAAAATTTAAAATGAGATTAAAATGTGTAATCATTTTTTACAAAGGAAAGTAACATGGTACGTGGACGGATAGAAACGGCAACGTGAACATAATATTTGAGACGGAGGAAGTATCAAATTATTATTATTTTAATTCGAAATTTTTATGACTAAAACCAAAATTCAAGATCAAAAGTCCACGAATAATCACACCAAAAATACCAACCCATTGCTTATGCCGGGCGGGCAAGTAATTAAAACAGTGGAAGCATTAGCAAGGAAGGAAGCAGCCTCCCTCGGTTCCATCGCCAAACCAAACACCTTAAGCTCATTCGCGACCTCAGTCATCGATCACCACAAATACAGATACAGATACAGATACAGATACAGATACAGATACAAAACGGAACGCCACCCTCTTCATTCATTCTCTGCTACTCTTCTTCTTCTTCTTCTCCGCACCCGCACCCGCACCCGCACCCACAGGCAATATATATACACATATATGTATATATATTCATCCCTCTAATGAATAGTATTTAATAATTAGCACGTGGGCCCCACCCCCTCATTGGTCAGTCTCTCTCTAATCCACTGCCGCTCTTCTATTCTATTCCGTTCTCTTCTATTCTATTACATCCTATTCTCTTTCACCACCTCCCTCCCCCCCCCCCCCCCTCTCTCTTCTCTCTCTCTCTCTCTCTACACATATGTGTATATATATACATATGCATAGACAAATCAATAATAAAGCAGTTGAGTTGAGCGCAGTTCTACTCCTTCAATTCACGCATTAATTGAGCGAGTAAACAGACATCCTGTTGTTTGTTCGTTCCTCTGTTGATTTATTTCTTCGCATATATATATATATATATATCATCGATTCATATTTCTGCTGCAGGTTTTTGTTTGGACAGCAGAATTATTGGTTTAGTTTCCATGAGATGAGATGAATCGGTCCTACTCCTACTGTCGCTGTTTCATATTTCCCAACTGAAATTTTGTCTGTTCCTGGAAATCATTATTCTGCCGTTGTCGCTGTCCCGTGAATTTGTTTTGTTTTTTTTGTTTTTTTCCTTTTTTTGACCAAAATAAAAATGGAGAGAAATCCAGTAGGGAGGAGGAAGAAGTACACAACTGCGAAACCGGATGGAAGTGGAGGTACATATATATCTCATCACATATACACTGTATATTGTGGTTTTATTACAAACACTCGTAAATTTGTTCTCCAGGTTTCTCAATTCTTTTCATACCTTTTCGATTTAGCTTGGTTTTTTTTTTTTTTTTTTTATCGGAAAAAAAAATGTTTGAAAACATGTTGTGTTGTTTTCTCTGTCATTTTTGGTATACATTTTTTTCTTTTTCGTTTTTCTTCTGAAAGGATTCTTTTTCTTTTTTGAACGAGATTTATTTAGGACATCTGTGTCTAGCTTCCACTCCTCTTTGTAGGTTTTTATATTTTGAAGAGAAACATGTTTAGATTGAATTTTGAGATGTTTTGAGTTGAATAAAAGTTTGCAACTTATTATTCATTTTCTTACGGAATTGAAGAAGATGAATTGGATATTTATCAGTTTCTATTCATAGTAGGACAATGGGGGATGAGCCGCATTATATCCCTCTTTTTAATTATTAAACAAAAAAAAGAGGCAAATTATAATTAATTCGTTTTTATCACCCCATAAATGAATCTTTTTCCACCTGCGTATACTTGTTTCAATATTGAGTGGAGTCCGCCAATGAAATAATTTTGGAAATTGTAATTCCTCGACAATTACTAACGTACGAGGTTGTATGGTCCAGTTGTAATTAATTGTTCTTTGGGCTACATATGATGATTAATCGGCCTACTTATGACCCTGACCCTTATATTGTTGGTTGGAATTTTACGGCCCCACAAATTATTAATAATATTGAGTATTTATTATTATATCGGAAAAGAAAACCATAATGTAATGTGAATATGTGATGGGTATGTTGATATGATATTCCTGCCCTGCCCTGCCCTGTCATGTCAGTGAGCGAGCGAGTGATATATATAGAAGAAGATTTTAAGATTCAGGAGAAGGGATAGTCAGTCGGTCGGAGTTTGATTTTGATATATTTATTGAAGCAGGAGGTGGTCATGAATCTTCTTCTTCTTCTTCTTCTTCTTCCATTGGATTGGGATTAATGGGATTGTCTTCGGATTCCTATATTATTCATCAGGGAAGACGACTAAGAGGGCGCGGCATTGAGGAGGATGACGACGATGAGGATAGGGTAAGCTAAGCTGCAAATTGCATCATACATAACATATATATACATACATACACATATACTATATATATGCCAAAAAATGTGAGGTTGATGAGTTTCATAACTCATAAGAATCATGAGGTGTTGGATGATGATTTCATTGTGTTGTGTAGCAGGCGGAGGAAGTGAAGCAGAAATGGAAACGTAGTATTGTCGGGAAACTTATGATGTGTTTTAAACCCGGGAATTGCCTCATCAGCAGAAGCATCTCCCTCTGGAAGCCGCCGCCGCCGCCCGCCTTCGGATCACAGCGCAGCAGCAAGTCTACAGTAGCAAGAAGGATGCCTCCGCCACATGAAATCCATGGAGATGGCGATGGGGATGGACATCGCCGAACAATGTACATTCCGTCGGGGCAACGCTTCATGCGAGCTGCAGATCGTCATCATCAGGATATAACTATGCACATGCCCCTCCCTAACCCTAACCCTAACTTTAGAGTACGACGCCGAGGGCTCTGCTCTTGCTCTTCTTCTTCTTCTTACAAGAAGCAGCTCCGGTGGAAGACGGCCTCCAAAGATGAACTTTTGGAGCTTCTCCGAAGCCAATTAATCCCCCCTACTGCCAATGATCCCATTAATCCTCCTATTGCTGTTGCTGCTGCTGGTATACCCTGTAGCAGCAACGGCAGCAATACAACCAATCCCAACTCCCAACTACTACTCATGAATATGGCTAATTCTGCGAGGGATCATGAACAAATTTGTACAAGATCAACAATAATGCCGCCCCTGCTGCAGGAATATTCGATGAGCAAGAGCGCAGGTAGAGACTTCTTAATGGAGACCACTAACCCCCTTTTCCGCAGGCTAGAAAGTACTACTGACTTGTCGTCGTTGTCACCGTCACATCCTCACCCTCACTTGCAATTGGATCGAGTTGCTGTACTGTATAATGGGCTGGTCAGGGGTTCAAGTGGTGAAGGTTATCCACCACCACATAATATCAAGATCGATGATTTGCAGGCTTTCGTAGAAAACTCCCATTGGGTGGCTTATCGAGCTTGTCCTAACTCGGTCTACAATGTCTCCATAAAAGATTGTGCATTCTCCTCCTCTGAACACATCAACACATATGACGCCGAGCTTCAAGGTACGTACGGAGCTTGTTATGCAACTTTTACAATTAATGCCAACAATTAATATGCATGCATGCCATGGATATTATTATGGATTGTGTGCGTGTCCAATTAGGATATATATATACATATTGGAATTGGGGGAAGACCCGACAATATTTCTCTTTTTAACATGGAAATTTCATTTGGTGTTGGATGGCATGAATTTTTTTTTTTTGAATCCATCAGGTCCTTCTTGTTTAAATATTTGTATATGTTGATCTATTTTATCAATTTCTATTCCTGCTATATACAAACCAATGCTACACATCTCTAACTCTTTGCTTAATTACGAATGTTTGAAGAACTCCGATTACAACTACAACTCCTGAAGATCAATTCGGCGTTAATCTCCGGGGACTCTCGGAAGCTGCTATCCTCCCTAATAATAAGCGACGCGGTCGGCCCTCGAGGGTGGGAAGCATCATTGTATGTGCTTGATGTGCTGATCCATTCTGGTCTCAAACTCTCTGCAGCCTTTGACGGATTTAGAACTTCTTGGCACTCCCCGGAGAGCCCCTTGAATAGCCGGTTGTTTGATGCCCTCGAGGCGCGCCATGACAATGACGACGACCCATCATCATCATCAGGGGCAAGGCGGCCAGAACGGATGCTGTTGTTCGACAGAGTGAACTCGGCACTGGTAGATCTGTTCCGGCGGCACGTGGAGGCCGCGTACCCTCGGGTGATGGGACTGCATTCGATTTGGGACGTGGGACGTGTAATGGAAGCTCTTAGCAGGTTGGCCGACCATGAAATAGAAGAAGCGAGACAGTTGGTGCTAGAAAGAGCCGTGGACAAGGAGACACAGTGGCGGGATTGTAATGGAGAAGTTGGTGGAGCGTGTAAGGAAATTGAAGAGCTTGTCGTAGATGAATTGATGAAGGAGCTTCTTCATGACTTGATGAGTAGTAGTTGATCATGACGTACATATAGAGATAGGCTAGGTTAGGAGGGAGACAAATTTGCCGTATGTTTTTTTGTTGTGTCATTACAGAGAACTAATGTTGGCTTCACTCTTTTGAAAATGGTTCTTTTTGTTGCTAATCTTTGGTGAATAATCGGTGGGAGTTTTTATTTATTATTATTTTTTGCCATTGAAGGAGCTTCTTTGTTTTGTTTTTTTTTTTCTTGTCATTAGTGTGTGATATTTGTTTGGTTTTGGTTTAAATTGATTTAGTTATTATATAAATAGTATTTTAAGATATTACTCCCTCCGTCTCAAACACTCTGCAACATTTTATTTTTGGTACGTCCCAAATATTTTGCAATATTTTCAAAATAGGAAATGATTAATTATACTTAATCTCTGCCTCACATTTTATCCATTCACATCATCCAAATAAAAAAATAAAATATATATTTTTCTCTCCATCACATCACCTAATTTCTAAATTATCATACTTAATACTACCCACCCAAAAATCCGTGTCAAAAACAAATATTACACCTTATTTGGAATAGAAGGAGTATATTTTATTTTTATTGAAAAATATACAGGTGAATAGTATTAATTTTAAACTGAGAATCACATCAGAACATAGAAATGACAATGAATTCAAATAGACTCAAGATCCATCGGAACACTAACTCATTTATTTGGAATGGAGTCCAATTGATCAGTTATCAGATTTGGTATTGTGTATTCTTATCCTGTCTAAGGATGGATCCTACCCAAATCCAAATTCGATTAATATATCAATTATATATAAAAAAATGATTTTTAATAATACAAATTATATTAAAAATATTTTTTTGAGTTAAGTTTATTTATATACTCTTTCGTTTCAAATCAAATGGAGCGTTTTGAGTTTATAGTAAATTAAAAAATAATAATATTTTATTAGTTAATGAAAATGTGTAAGAGTTTTTTTTTTTTTATTTTTTATTTTTTTATTTTTGTCCATTGACTTTATGTATAAAATAATTGTATTTGTAATTTAAGTAATATGTAAGAGTATTTTGATATTAGTATATAATTGATTTTTTTTTAAAAAAAATATGAAATAGATACTAAAGTGGAATAAACGAAAATAATAAAAATGGTATTTAAATTGGGCCAGAGAGAGTATTATTTAATTATAATGCTTTGAATAAAATAGATAAATTTTAAAAGATATCGGATTTGGGTCTCGGTTCCAATTTTGAATTAAAAATTATAATTTATAAAAAAAATTTGGATCCATCGGATCTTGTCGGATATAGTTCGAGTTGGATCCAAATACGATTGAATCCAAATATAGCCAAGTTAATTTCGAATCTCAATCCAACAATATGTATTCGGGTCAGGTCTCGAGTTTGATTGGACCCAACCCATTGTCCACTCTAACCAAACACATACATTGCACGGTGTTAATATCTAATAAATGTTGAGATCATGTATTATCATTCATATACTGCATTATATTATATTAATATTGATTGAATATATCATATATTATATGAACTATTGTTATATAATTTTAACTTTTATTGTTATATTTTTATTATACCAACATAAAATATATTTTGTTTGTGTACATATTATATGTTGTCTATATATATATATATATAATAAAAGCCACCCCGAAATATTTTAGGGTATAACAACCCTTATATTTTAGGGCGTGTTCTTAGCTGTTTTAATTAAAATATTTGGTAAAACAACTGTTTGATATTAGCTGTTTATACATAAAATGACAATTGAGGACATTTCTATTTTATTTTTGTTTTTAATATATTCAATTATGTTATTTTGAGTTTAGAATTTTTAAATTTTTTTGTTATTAGTTATTGAAAATTGTAAAAGTGTTATAAAAGTATTTATTTTTATTACAATTATATTTAAAAAATAATATATTTTTATTAAAATATATAAATAGTTTTTTCTATTGAAAATGATGTAAAATATAAAATAATAAATTTGTTGTGTATATATTTATTACGTTTGTTATCGATTAGTTCATTATATTTATAATTTTCAATAAATTTAATTTATTTTTAGTATAAATTTATATAATGTAATTTTAATATAAAAATAAATTATTAATATTTATATTTTCTATTTTATGTTGATTTTAATAAATTTATATATTTTACGATTAAAATAATTTTTATATAAAAATTAATTATTTTAAATTTATACAAGTAAAACTATAATATAATAAAATATTCTAATATAATTAATAAATAATCAAAATATATTTATTTGTGTAAAATGCATAATAAATAATCTGGGCCAGTGTAGTGGATCTTTCCCATTATTAAAAAAAAAAAAAGCGTTTGTACAATAAAAATACCCAAACCTGGGCTAAAGAAACAAACCCTTAATATCATAGTTCTATATATATATATATATATATATGATAATCAACGGAAATGAAATTCAATATAATTAATCTAATAAATATAAGTCCAAAAGTATTGTTGGGAGAACACTAAGAGAAGAAAATGAAATTCAATATAATTAATCTAATAAATATAAGTCCAAAAGTATTGTTAGGAGAACACTAAGAGAAGAAGAAAATACAAACAAAAAATATACAAGAAAAGAGAGAGCATAATCTAGTTTTTAGATGTGGTCATACTAGAGAAACAGAACAAATCTTGGTTCTTAGTTGTGGTCACACCACGGCTGCGATGGTTGTGTCGTGGTCACACCTAAATAGAGTATTTTTAGTTATCTCACCACATTCGACTATTGGTTTTACTAATTTACAAATGATAATAACCACTAATAAACAATATAGATAACAATAAGGGACACACAAAATTTTAATGTGAATTTTTTTTTCAAAGTAAAAGATAAAAATCACGAGGCCTATCACTTGACTCAAGGTAAAATTCATTATATAAAAATTGTTCGGACAATTAAAGATAATCATAACCAATGACTATCAAACTCCACACATAAGTACAATAATCAAATTCCAATTACAAAAGATCTCTCAATTACAAATAATACATTCAAATAATTATTATATAATAAAAATAATTATAAATTGAGATTAAGATAACTAAATAATTTAATTATTATTAAGAAAATTATAAATTATAAAATTTAAAATGTAATTAAAATGTATAATTACAGTTATAAAAATGACAAATTATGTGAATTGACAATTTATGTGGGACGAAAAAAGTATTACTTTAATAATTATTTTAATATATTAATTTTTACTTAAGTTATAGTTTTAGTTTTAGAAATTTAAAACAACTAAAATTATTAATTCTTTTATATATGTTATGGTTCAGATTTTTATTTTTTTTTTAATATTTGGGTTGGTTGGGAATAATAAAAAGTTAAATAAAAAATAGTATGCTGATTGATATAAGTATTTCAATACTCCTTTTGTTGGGTGATATATTTTTCATTTGAATTTTGCATGTAAATTAAAGTAAATTAATATTTCATAAACATGCAGTGTAATAAAATAATGTAATATCCATTTTATCCTTAAAAAATAATATAAAAGGTAAAAAAATAAAAGTATTCTAATATTCGGTTGAGAGTTAGTTTTTTTAGAAAATAAAATATAAAATTTTGATTTGGTCATAGAAAAATGACAAAATAAAAATTTTCGATGGACGGATGGAGTATAATATTTTGAATAAAAAATATATTTTTAATATAATATTTTAGATTAAAAATAAATATTTTGCATGATATTGTTCAAATGCTAATATTAATGATTCATAAAAGAATAAATAAAAAATATTGTAATAGAATATTTGTTTGGGTGTGGTTTGAAATTGATTTGAAATGAAATATTAATTAATATTTTTTTATTAAAAATTATGCAAATGAAATAATGTTAAATTTTAATTTGAAATTAGAAAAAAAAAAAAACAAACCCATAATTTTAAAAAGTAAGATCATTAATGTTTGACGTGTTAGTTTATTTGGTGGTTTTCAACTCCTTGAGGAACTGGAAAATGGTTTAAACCACATTTTGTTTTCCAATTAATGAAAACAACAACAAATTAATTCAAGGCCTTAAATTAATTATGACTCAATAATGTGTGACAGTGATATGCATGTATTAACAAAACCGTCAAGTTTCAAGATATATTTAAATTGATTAAATATATATACACACAGGTTCACAAACCGAGAGAAAATTGTGCAATTGAGGAATAAATTTTTTTTTACTTATTGTTTATATAATTATCTATTTTTGTTATGTTATTTTTAAAATTGATTTGATTTAAATAATATTATATATATATAGACTATAAGTATTATTTATAAAAAATATTAAATAAATATATAGTTTAATAAAAAATAATTTGTGCATCACAACACACGGATTAAATGCTAGTATATGTATATATATATAGATGGAGAAGTCACCGTTTTTGTAACACGAATTCATAACAAAATTAAACCAACAGATAAGAGAGGTAGATAGATAGCTACCTATAGAAATGGACGTGTTACGGCCGTGTGTAAACAAAATCCGAAGAATAAAATATGAACGGTAGATGAATAATTGATAGCACAACATTAAAGCTCCTCCAAATCGTCAAGTTATAGGGTTGAAAATCTCAACGCCTAACAGAAAATCTCGCTCTGTCTGCCTATATAAGCCGCCACAATTCCTGTTATAGTTGGTTCACAACGCTGAAGTAAAAAATAAAAACAACTGTTTCGCATAGGCATAGGCATACGCATATATAATTTAAAATCGCACCGTACGTTACGTGTGTCCAAATTATATCAAATGCCTAGGGAAGGGATGGCCGGTTTGTGTTTACCGGCGGCGGTTTCTTCTCCTTTTTCTTCTTCCTCGTGCAGTGTCCCTTCTCCCTCCAGGTTCGGTTTTTCGCCTTCTCGGCCGAGTTTCTCCGAGTCTGTGATGGACCGGACGGTCCGCATGGCCGAGCCCATCATCCTCAGGTGGAACCCTGCAGACACCACCACCGGCGCCGCCGTGGCTCGAGTCACCTCTCTGTTCTACGAGAGTCGCCGGGAGGCCAGGGAGTTTGTCAAAACCGTCACCCATCTGCAGAAGGCGATGCAGTTTCTGGCCGAGGAGAATTCTGGATCCGACAAGCTCGCTCAAGGCCAGAATCTGATGCAGATCGCCATGAAGCGGCTGCAGAAGGAGTTTTACCAGATTTTATCCATGAACAGAGCCCATCTGGATCCGGAGTCCGTCTCTACACGATCTCGCTCCTCTACTGGATCGAGCGCGACTTCGGATTTCGAAGACGACGACGACGACGATGAAATCAGAGGCGGCGCAGCGGATGCGCCGATCTCGGACGTTTCTTTAGCTCTGGCCATGGCGGATTTGAGAATGATTGCGGAATGCATGATCTCCACCGGTTATGCGAAGGAGTGCTTGAAGATTTACATAATCATCCGGAAATCGATCGTTGATGAAGGAATCTATAAGCTGGGAGTGGAGAAGCTCACTTCTTCTCAGATTCACAAAATGGATTGGGAAGCTCTGGATTTGAGAATCAACAACTACTGGCTCGGCGCTGTGAGAAATGCTGTGACCACTCTCTTCAATGGAGAGAGCATTCTCTGCCACCACGTCTTCGCCAGTTCCGATTCCATTCGAGAATCGTGCTTTTCCGAAATTGTTAAAGACGGAGCCATGCTCCTCTTCGGATTTCCGGAACTGGTAGCCAAGCACAGCCAAAAGTCGCCGCCGGAGAAGGTCTTCGGCGCCCTCGACATGTACACCGAAATCTCCAATCACTGGCCGGAGATCGATTCAATCTTCAACTACGCCGCAACCGTCCCCATAAAATCACAGGCGCTCACCTCGCTATCCAAGCTCGCTGAGTTCGTTCGGGCAGCATTAGACGAATTCGAAGTCACAATTCTCAAGGATTCCTCAAAATCTCCGGTCGCCGGCGCCGGGATCCATCCTCTGACTGTGGACGCAATGAATTACCTCTCAATCATCTCCGATTACGACAATCTCTTAGCCGAAATCCTCGCCGATTCCCCGCCGCCGTCGAAGAAATCACTACCGGAATCATACTTCGGATTCTCCGACCCCGGCGAAACTCAGGCACCGGCGGCAATCTCCATGAAAATGGCGTGGCTTGTTATAGTCCTCCTCTGCAAGCTGGACACCAAGGCCAAGTACTACAAAGATGTCTCTCTGGCATACCTTTTCCTCGCCAACAATCTCCAGTACGTCGTCGCTTCGGTGCAGACCTCAAATCTGAAATATCTCCTCGGTACGGAATGGCTGGCGAAGCACGAGGCCAAAGTCAAACAGTTCGCGTCAAACTATGAGCGGCTAGGGTGGAGCCACGTCATCGAATCCCTACCGTCATATCTTACGGCTACGGAAACCTCCCCCGAAAAAGTCAAGGAAATGTTCAAGAAATTTAACACATTATTTGACCAGGCGTACAGAAAGCAGTCCCTCTGCGTCGTACCGGATAAAACACTCCGCGACTACATTAAGAACTCTATAGCCAGAAGGATCATCCGACTGTATAAAGATTTCTACAGCGCGCATCGCCACACCGTCGCCAACGGACGACACGTGGCAGCAGTGGTCAGATATGCCCCCGAGGATTTGCGCCGCCACCTGTCCGACATGTTCTTCGGAGATGATGACGTGTCCGACAATTTCTTGGCACCTCGCTCGCCTCTCCGAGGATCTGTCCACAACGCTTGAGGAGTTGAGATCCTGTCCCTACAGTATATATGTGCTAGTAGTTCATCCGTTCTATGCAACGAATTTTATTAATCCATACAATGAACAGTACGCCCTTACGCCATTAAAATTATCTCATCTGAATTCGACAAGAAAATTAAAAAAAATAAATATTTTATAAAAAAAATGATAGATAGTTGAAAATATTTTTAAAAATTTAATTAAAAAGTAAAGTAAATGAAAAAATAGAATGTAATAAAGTTAGTGGTATTTCTTGTAAATAAGTGTTGAATGAAGAGATAATAATTAAATGTGAGAATAAATATGACGGACCAAGAAAATATTTATTTTTAAAAATGATTTTTTAATACTACTATTATATTGAGTTGTAGTCAAAGAGATAAAAATATTATTACTATTATATATAATACTTATGTAATATATTATAAGTTAAAAATGTACTCCCTCAACTTCAAACAATGTGCAAAGTTTGCTTTTTGGAGGAGTTTTTAAGTGGATAGTATTAAGTAAAATAATTTAGAAATTAGGTGATGTGATGGAGAGAGAAATATATATTTTATTTTTTTATTTTGATGATGTGAGAGGATAAAGTGTTGGGTAGAGATTGAGTATAACTAATTATTTCCTATTTTGAAAATATTGCAGGCTGTTTGAGACATACCAAAAACGAAATGTTGCAGGATGTTTAGAATGAATGGAGTAGTATTTATTATGTTATGTATATGATACAATTACTAAATTTAAAAATAATACCTTTGTTTTGAAATCTTTGTTACGATCGAAGAGAGTATTATTATTATTTTTTTTTATCATTTTACTAAAAAAATATTCATTATTTATTATAATAAAAAAATAGTAGATAACATATTATCACATATATATAATTAATTAATTTATATACAAGTAAAAATATTAATTAATTATTTTATATATTTTAACAAATTAATAAAATATAATTTGTTAATATATTACAAAATTTCATATAATTAATTTGAATTAAACTACTTGTATAAATTACTATATTCTATAATTTTGATATTCCGTTTTCGTTAGTTACACTACTTTTTTTAAGGTTTAAACTTTTTAATAATATTGTAATATGCTTTTTCCAATTTTTTTTTTTTCGGAGATGATGACGTGTCCGACAATTTCTTGGCACCTCGCTCGCCTCTCCGAGGATCTGTACACAACGCTTGAGGAGTTGAGATCCTGTCCTTACAGTATATATGTGCTAGTTGTTCATCCGTTCTATGCAACGAATTTTATTACTCCATCCATTGAAGAGTACTCCATTCGTCCATTAAAATTATTGAGCTCGGCGCGAGATTAAAAAAAATATATATATATTTTATTAAAAAAATAATAGATAATTGAAGATATTTTTAAAAATTTAATTAAAAACTAAAGTAAATAAAGAGAGAGAATGTAATAAAGTTAGTGATATTTATTGTAAATATGTATTGAATGAAGAGATAATAATTAAATATAAAAATAAATTTGACTCACCAAGAGAATATTTATTTTTGAAAGTGATTTTTTAATACTACTATTATATTGAGTTTTAGTAAAAGAAATAAAAATACTATTACTATTATATATAATACTTATGTAATATATTATAAGTTAAAAATATGTCACTTTCCTTTTTCTAAAATGATTACACACTTTAATCTCATTTTAAATTTTTAAATTTTATTATTTTTTTTAATTTTAATTAAGCTAATTAGTTATCTTAATTTTAATTTATAATTATTTATATTATAGGATAATTATTTTCACTAATACATTTTTAATTATCTACTAATTACACCTCTCCTATAATAGCGTATCTTCAGTGTAGCAGACACTGTATTTAGGACGAAGGGAGTAGTATTTATTATGTTATGTATGTGATACAATTATTAAATTTAAAAATAATACCTTTATTTTCAAAATCTTTGTTATGGTCGAAGAGAATATTATTATTATTTTTTTATCATTTTACTAAAAAATATTTATTATTTATTATAATAAAAATATAGTACATAACATATTATCACATATATAGAATTAATTAATTTTTATACAAGTAAAAATATCAAAATTATTTTATATATTTTAACTAATTAATAAATTTCATATAATTAATTTGAATTCAAACTGACTAGTATAAATTGCTATATTCTATGATTTTGATATTCCATTTCGTTAATTACACTACTTTTTTTAAGGTTTAAATTTTTTAATAATATTGTACACTCTTTTTCCAATTTATTTTTTTCTTTAATTTTCAGCTTCATTTCTAACTTTTTTTTTTTAATGTTTTATTAGCTTTATTTTCACCTTCTTTTTTCATCAATTTTTTCAGTTATCACGAGATAGTCCGAATTCTTTTTGAGAAGGCTGGGAACCCTTCGAATAAATCGATTCAGACAGGCTTTTTCGATTAGGCCGCCGAAGGTGATTTTTTTTCTACAACCAAAATCTAATTCAACATTTAATTTATGTAGTATCTGAAACATACTCCAATCCGTCCAACTTAATTTGTCTACTATTTCTATTTTCGTCCGTTCTAAATAATTTGTCATTTCTTTTTTGGACATATAATTATACACTTTAATCAAATTTAAAAATTAATAATTTATACTTTTTTATTTTAATTAAATTTTTACTCATTTTAATCTTAATTTATAATTATTTTTATTAAATCATACTCTATCTGTCCGCTCTGAAGGTCACATTTACATTTTACGTTATTGTATTTAACATTAAAAATATCCTTATATTTGTATAATTTTTTGTACAAATATCCTATTAATATTTGTACAATAATTTGTACTACCTCCGTCCGGCTCTAAGGATCCCATTTAGTTTTTGCGTGTTGATCTTTAAATATTAATTATTGTATAAAAATGTAGTACAAATAACTATTTTTTAATATATATACTTTTTTTGAGGTTAAATATAAAAAAAATAAATATATTTTAATTTTAGGGGTTTAGAAGTTGAGATTCTAAAATTTATTCAGTTTGAGCGTATTTAAGTCAAATAACGTTAAATAAGGACCGCTGAAGGGGTTAGATGCAGAATTTAAGAAATCACGAAGGAGTTTGACGCAGTTTTAGAAGTATGAGGGATTTGACGCAATTTCGTAAAACCACATGTGAATTTTATGCAATTTAACATAAATTATATAACATCCTCTTGTGTTTTAATAGAAATGCACAAAATACTCTGTGATTTATTTACTGCGCGAAACCCTGATGCGAACGCAACCGAATGATTCAAAAACTCGTAAACCACATGGAATAAAGAAAAAAAAAAGATGCAGAATTTGGTGGAAGGACATTGATGAGAAATGATATGGATAGAATGATACTTTGGTTTCTTGATTCACAAGGTTGATTGGATAGACACCAACCGTGAGAAAACTAAGCAGCACGCAACACAACATCTGTAAACTAAACAAGGAATAAAGAAGGATAATCTGGATTCTCGATCCACATGGTTGGTTGGATGAGCACCAAGTGAGAACTAGGCAACACGCAACACAAGATCTCTAAACCAATCAAGGAATGAAGTTGACACAACAAGCGGTCCAACACCGATTGAGAGGCGACGAACTGTCTCAAATCACTCGAAAACAATCCGATTTTGAAAGACTACCGAGGATTGCATCACACAATCTCGAATAATCAAGCAAGCAAGAATCACTCTTGAAAGTAAAGAAATTTTATAAGAAATATTATGGTGGTCTCTTTTTACAATGACAAATCAGGCCTTATATATAGGTCATTGATGATAGAAGAAAGAAACACTAGAAAATAAGGAAATAATTTAAAAGACAACATCTAAACTAGGAGATAGAAAATTAAGGAAACAACTTATTAGAAAATTTAGTAAAAGAAAACTTATACTATAAGAAAATATTTAATATGGAAACTTGGACTTCTTCCATATTATTGATATTCTTTGTTGGCAATCTTGGTTGGTAGTCTCGAATCTTCTAATGATGATCACAGAATGATAATTAATTGATTGGGGAATCAAACTTATAAAACTCCATAGCTGGTCTATCTTTGGCAGTCTCTTCGATAGTGGAATCCATGGTACGATTGTCCAGAAAAAACATAGTCATTTAAATCTTTTGTACTCAGTTCTGGATATTCATTTCAGGTAGGAAAATTTATGATTTAGTAGCTCTCATGATGATCTCATCAAACCCTCTTGTGTTAATGTAAAATTTGCACGAAAAATCCTCATTGTCCAAAACTAATATTCAATTCTAAATAAAGACCTAAATTACGCAAATTTTAGGCAATATTGTCTATAACTCTCTTGTAGTTTCAAAACTCAACATAAATATCCCATTTACTTTAAAAATTGCATAAAACTTCTTTATACTTTAAAAAACGTTACATGAAACCCCTCTATAGTTTCGAAACTCAGTGTAAATCTCCAATTTACTTAAAAAAATTGTATGACACCCCTTTATACTTTAAAAAATATTGCATGAAACCTCCTCTATGCAAAAAATATGGATAGGAAATCATCATCCCATCACACAACGGAGGTTTAATGGGAGTGGAGTTTCATGCAACGTTTTTGAAAATATAGGAGAGAAATTTCACGCAATAAATAAAACACTTGGTGCATTTTTACTAAAACACGGGACTGTTATATAATTTACTCTATATATTATATATACTTCACAATCCTAAAATAATAGTCTTTTTTTTTTTTCATTTTCGACCGTTTTACAACAATAATCACATTTTCATAAATAACAATATCATCATAAAGCTACTTCCATTTTTTTTTTTTATTGTTATTACACAAATGTATTATTTTTTACACAAATACTCACAAGAATTTATAGTATTTTACTATCTACTTTATACTCATTTCCGCGATAATACTATTATTTTTTAAATTTGTTTTGAACTCAAATGAGACTATTATTTCAGGATGAAGAGAGTAATACTTTTAATGAGATATTAGAAAACATAATACTCCTTCCGTCCATATCTACGTCCAATGTATTTATTTAATTTTGATTTGTAATAAATTAAGAAGTAATAGTATGTTATTTGAGATATTTTGTAATAATTTTATAATTTTTTTTAAAAAAATATCAAATTAAACACTTATTATATTATACTAAAATTTAATTTTATATTCAAAATATCATATCAATATATATTTATATTACATCAAACAATTATTTTAATTTAAAATTTTATTATTTAAAAGTCAAAATCTCACAACTAAATACACCAAATATTATATTATTGGTTAGTAATATTTTATGACTTAGATATGATTATTTTTATTTTAATTAAAAATGAATATTTTTTGAATGAAAATGATGAAAAAAAAATTACATTAGCTCGAATAAAATATACTTTTATAAAAGGAACAAATTATTTTATTTAATTGAAAAATTAAAAATTTGAGTTCGATACACAAAGTAAAAAAATAAATATTTTATTATAAAAATAAAAAAAAGTAAAAGTATGTTTGAAAAGTAAATTAAAAATTAAAAAATAATAGAGAATAAAATAATAATATTTGTAGAGATAAGTATTAAATAAAAAATAATAATTAAATATTAATTTATTAATTTTATATATATTAATAATAAAGTAAATTTAACAGATATTAAAAAAAAAAAGGAGTGAAAATTGTCTTAACGATAAAGTACATGCTAAAAATAAAACCAAATTCTAAAAATTGATAAAATTTTAATTCAATTTATTTTTTTTAAAAATTAAAATCGAAAATAACATTCCCAATTTCTTTTGAAAATTTTCTGACTATATCTATATGGCGTATCTGGTTTTAAAATTATTTCTATCCACTGGATTAAAAAGGTAGTAAATGTGGACCACGGTGATGGTGGCTCATTCTCCGCCCTCGGTTATCGTGGCGGCGAAAAACAAACCACCGTCGCGATTACCGGAGAAATCTCAAAGTCGCAAGTCTACAGCAACCGGAAGCGCAGGGTTCGGCGGTAAAAAGAAGGATCCTGTGTGGCAGTGTATTCAGAACTGCGGCGCTTGCTGCAAGCTTGACAAGGGCCCTCAATTTCCATCCCCCGACGAAATATTCGACGAGCCTTCCGACGTAGAGGTCAAGTTTCATGTCCTTGTTGCTTAATTTAATTTAATTAAAAAAGTTAACTTATTAGATCATACCTGTTTTAACCTACGATGATAACTGTTTTTATTTTAAAGTTACCTTTTAGACACTTGTATATAGGAGTTAGACAAAGAATGTGGGAGTCCAAAGAATGGTGGGATTGGCTTGGACGAAAGTAGGGAAGAAAACGAAAGAAGAGAACGAGGCTGTGCGCCTGCCAGTAATTTAGGGTGTTTTTAGATATGTTTGGGAGTTTTTGTTTAGTTTTGAGTTATTTTGGAAAATTGTACAAATTTGGATAAAAAGCGAGTATGGGATGAACCGGTGAAGTGTAAATAGCCTGATGTGATTGTTTTAGAAAAAAAAAAATAATAATAAAAAAAATAATAATAAAAAAAAAATAATAGGAATCAAACCCTAAGTTTTCGGATGCTGTAATAATTGAAATAATAAAATAAAGTTAATTAAATCTGATTGGTTTTGTGTTTTTAAGCCTATGACTCAACTCTCTCTCTTAAATCCTATGTTTCATCGTCCAATTAATAAGTTACCGTATTTTTGCACATACGAGACCCGCACTTAGTGAATACATTTAAACTTAGTAAATTTAATAGATCATTTAATAAAAATTTAATCTGACTTTAATATAACTGATAATTCAAATTGTTACATTTAACCCACCAAGATATAGTTAAATTCTTGGGGTGTCATTTGTATTTCGTTGAAATATTGAAATTCAAACCCAATCTTACTGTGAGTCTGTGTAGTATAGTTTGTATTAACATGGATGTGGATGACTTATTTCAGTTATACCAAAGCTTGATTGGAAAAGATGGTTGGTGCATACACTATGACAAGAATACAAGAGAGTGTTCCATTTATGCTGGTTGGTGCATTGTTTCTCCCTGAATTATTAGTATCCTTCTTGTGTTGTGTCGAAAGGAATCTTCCATTGTGATGCACTGAGAGTTTTTTCTTGTGCAAGTATTGCTCGGTTAAGGCATTAATTAGAAGCTTCTGAGTTTTCTCCATGTTCTCACCATGCTTAATGGGTTTCGTGACTTTAGAGCGTCCCTACTTTTGCCGGGTTGAGCCGGAGATATTTTTTACATTGTATGGGATTGAGAAGAAGAACTTCAACAAGGAGGCTTGCAGGTTTGTGAAACAACTCTTGTTCTTACACATTTGGAACAAAATTGTATTCGATGCAGATTCAGTTTCTAACGTCAACTCCAGTTGCTGTGTAGACACAATTAAAGCTGTGTATGGAATACATTCAGAAGAGTTGGAAAAGTTCAATCGCGCTGTATGGAGCACTGGTTCGAAAATGATGGATTAATTTTGAAAGTGTGTATCTCCGTCCATTTTGTATTCTTGGAGTTAAACGCAGGCACACTTAGATGCCACAGAACAGAGAATTTGATGGGCAGTAATCATTAAATTCAAACTCAAGCTTAGATGAACTTTGATGTGTAAGGATTTTTCATTGAAGTTTACTTTGGTTGCATGCATTTTGTAATCTGTAACGATTTCAATGTCCCAACAATACATATAGTTTGTTGGTGCAAAACTGATGATTTCTTGACATTGTGCAACTTACATTGATGGACACAAAACACTGGATCTGTTGACAAAAATCCCAATTGTTTTTAATGCTCCAGAACATGCAGAAATCTCATGATCATCAAGCTCTTTAGCACGGTGAACGTGGGAGGGAGTGATATGCATAAAAGGAAGAAGATTTTGTCGTGTAAAAAGAAACATGAACCAATTAAGAACTTGTGTTTTAATCCATAAGCATCTCATATGATACAATGTATGCAAAAGTTTCAATGTCTACAAGGCCTTCAAAATTGCTCAGCATTACCCTGTCGAAAATAGGGTCACGCTAGCATGCTAAAGCATAGACTGTCGAAACTGAGTAACACATGCATCTGTATGTATTTACTCATATCCAGAATTCTAGTCCTGCGTTGTCTTGTCCCCGTGCGCTTTAGGAACGAGACTTGCCCCTCTATGTCATATTGAATTGCTAAGAGGCCCAATACCCAATTCATCCTCAATGTCATCGCCATCTTCAAAAAGTTTGAGAAACCTTGCCTGCTCTTGCTGCCTCCTCCTTTTCTGCCAGTATTTACAAGCAGCCACTAAGCCGGCAATCACTATGATTGCCACCGCAATACTGATAACTGGTATAAGGATCCAATTTAAGTAGGTTTTCAGGTTGACGGAATAATCTGCAGCTGGCAAGGCAAGTCACACCGTAAAAAATTGAAGAAGATAGATAGATAGATAGATTGATAATAAGGGAGGAAGCCAACATAGTTACACCCTCCCCACCTAACTATGTCCAGTTTCCCTGCCCTGTATCAAATTTAACCTTAAATGTGAAGTTGATTCATTGCAATTGCATTGAGGATCCGGAAATGTAGTGCAGTGTCAGTGTTATTTTCTATAGGATATGATAGGATAGGAGTCATGAGTGGCTAACCAGTTCCAAGAGGAACACAATCGGGGCATATGAATGTAGCATTGAACTCCTTGTCTTTGAAATGAATGTATCTGCCATCGGACCTTGTGAAATCAGATGCACACAACTCCCATTCATCGAACTCATGATTTGATTTTATGGAATCCTTCTGATACAATCCGCAACGCTTGCACTTTATATCAGTAAGCTCCGTTAGAGGCTGCTACAGATTAATAGATGCAAAACCAGAAGTAGGTCAGTGTTTTAGAATCGGTTTAGTTGGCGAGTTTAATATCACCTCACCTGCCATGATTCTTGGCCTTTGAAGGTGTAGAGAGTGTGCTTGGCTTTGACATCTGGTAAAACTGTTTCCTTCTCTCCTTTGCACTGAAAGTAAATGCCTGTTGGGGTGGTTGCAAGCCAGTCGTGGGTTTTGAATAGCTCTATAGAATCGAGTGTCACAACTGCTGAAGAAGAAGAGGAAGAAGACTCTGCAGCAAATCCAAAAACCGTAGTAGCCATTAATGAATAGTAAATATACTGAACCGTGGATGAGAATAATTTTTATTTTTTTTGAGAATTGAGACTAGAGAGCTTCGTTTGTATATATTATTTATCTCATCTCCTTCCTTCACTTCCCTTACCTTTCCTAATAGAAGGAACAAGAACAAGAACGATCAATTATTATATGCTAAAGGCATATCTGTTGAAAGAAAGCTTCATGGCATCTCAAAAGGATGAGTTATAATGATTCCACCCACAGAAATGATGGATTTAGCCTATGTTTTTTCATACTCATTTTTTCTACTCCACCTTCCTAAAGTTCATTATTCTTGGAATGGAATACTCACATGAATAGTTGTTTGTTAATTCTCAAATATGCAAGTTTCATGTCAAATATAAAAAAAATCGATCAATTAACGTGCAATATGCATATCACACAATAAAATGTAATCAAAATTAAAGTATTATGCCCGAGCCCCTCCTAAACCGGAAAAATAATGTATAGTAATAAGTAATAATATACCGGGGGTGGAGGTGGAGTAGCCGATAAGAAGGGTGCAGGTGCAGGAGAACAAAAACACAGTTGGAGGCGGCGAGAAGGGGTGGATCCTCCAATCGCCCATCACCATATTACGATCAAAGCTAGAACAATAATTAATTAATTAATTAATATATAATTGCTTATATCGAATGAATGAGCTGATGATGATTATTATTATTTGGAGAGGTAGGAGAGTTTTCTGTAATCTTAGTCTGAGAAAAGATGATGATATGTTTTGGTGATCGAAGGGAAAGGGAGAGGAAGAGATAGAGAGCGGAATTCAATCGCTAATTTCTAATTACTATAATTTTCCATTTACTAATAATTGCATCCTTCTACTATATCTTTATCTACCATAATAATAAATATCATATTAAAAATATATTTTAATCAAATATTTGACCACTTTTCAAATATATATATATATATATATCCTCGAAACAAAATGCACCAGCCTATCACATGTACTCTAGATTAAGTAAATACCCCAAGTTAATTTGGATCTTCAAGAGCATTTCTTGTATCAATTTAGACAGTAGTGTCGTCCACTTTGAACAAGATGAATGAATGAGACATAGCTCTATACACTTCCATTGAGAAAAAGGCACCATCCAATAACTACCATTTGAAATTAATAGAAATTAATGGATGAGATTACCTTCATGGGAAAAATGTCATTTGCCGTAAATGTTAATTAAGATATTAATTTCATCATTTATGAGTTTAAATTAAACATTCCAGCTATAAACCATATGAAATTATAAAAATTATTATAAACTAAATGTTATTCAATCGATTTTTTTTTTTTTTTTTTTTTTTTTTTAAATTTTGAACGATTTTTAAACCATTATACATTGATCATTCTAACATCTTCAAAAATAATAAATACTCCCTAATTCCAATTTCTTTTGTCTCTTATTTTTTATTTTTGTTCATCCCTATTATACTCTTTAGTCACATTTAAATTTCATAATTTATAATTCCTAAAAAATTAATTATACTATTTAGTTATCTTAATTTTAATATATAATTAATTTTATTATACAATAATTATTTTATTAATATATTTTTAATTACTTATTAATTATAATTTAATTAAATTCCGTATCTACAGTAAATTAGATATAAAATGTGTGACAGATGAAGTAATATTTTAATATTAGAAATTCAATCCATAATTCTCTCTCGGGTTTAGGGTTCAAGGTTTAGAGTTTTTTTTTAAAATAAAAATTATATAGCAATGACTGCATCCAAAGTGAAACAAAACAAACCTAATAGTCTAAGGGTATGTTTCTTTTGATAAGTTTCAGAAAATTTTGAATTGAGTTTGATATTAAAATAATGTATGATTGGATGTTTTGTGAGAAAAAAATGTATTCTTTTGAGTTCAAATAGTAAAAACTTGAGGTTTGGTGACTAAAGAAACAAACCTAAGTCTTAAAAGGCCTGAGGCATCAAAATCATACCAAATACTAAGCTATTAATTCTTAATATCATCAATCAAGGATAAGTCATTAAGTAATAGGGTGAAGCCTGCTACTTGAAACGGAAAGTCGGGAGACTGTTAGCATCCGTTCAAAGGAGACCTCTAATCGACGAAGAAATATCTGAAGGAAGATATATCATATATACAGGGAAGAAAACTGTGTCGCGGATGCCTTAGTGACTATGGCAGTTTCTCTTTCAATTGGACGGACACTTCTCCCGACATATGTTCCTTCGTCAATCAAAAGTCTCCTTGTAGCGGATGCAAATGGTCTCCCGACTTTCCGTTTCAGGTAGTAGACTTCACCCTATTACTTGTTTTTGGGATAATTAGTGTTGATATTACTTCGGGTGCGTTTGGCAATTAGCTGATAGCTTTTAGCTATTAGCTGATTCAATTAGTTGTTAGTTGTTAGCTGATTCAATTAGTTGTTAGCTGATTCAATTAGCTGGTTTGACTAGCTGATTAAGTTGATTCAATTAGTTGTTAGCTGATTCAATTAGTTGCTACCTGTTAGCTGATTCAATTAGCTGGTTTGACTAGCTGATTCAATTAGCGGTTTGTATTAAAGTGTTTGGTAAAACAACTGTTTGACATTAGCTGTTTATACATAAAATGACTATTAAGGACATTGATACGTTATTTTTTAAAATATTTATTTTTGTTAATTTTGGTTTGAAATTTATGAGAATTTTTATTATTAATTATTGAAAATTATAAAAATATTATAAAAAATTTATTTGTATTTTTATTATTTAAATTTGAAAAAATTATTTTTACTAAAATTATGTAAAATATAAAATAATAAATCTTTCGTATATATATTTTTATTATGTTAATTATTGTTTTAATATATATAAATAAATTAAAAACCTTTGTTTTTTTATTTGATTTAGTTTTAATTTTCTTTTATATTTTACAAATAAAATAATTTATATGTAATAATTAATAATAGTAATTATTTTAAATTTATAAAAATAAAAATATAATTTAATAAATTAAATAAATAAATACTTCTATAAAAATATATTTATATGTATAAGGTAAATAATTAAGTTTTAAAGGTAAATAAGGAATAACCAAAATAAAAATGAAAAAGCTCTTTCAAAATGCTGGATAGATGAGCTTTTCAGAAATGAGTTGGGTCCAAAAAGCTATTTCAAAAAGCTAATTTACCAAACACTTAAATGAGCTTTTTGATTGGTCAAACAAGCTAAACTAAAAGTTCTTCAAAAAACTGTTTTTCAAACACCCTCTTAGAGCTTTAGCTGTTTGACCAGTAAACCAGCTAATTTTGATGTTTGGTAATTATCGTTTTCAATTAGCTTATTAGGTTCAAAAAAACTAATATTGAAAGAGTTATATATACCAACGTTTCAAATTAATTTTTTTATTTTTTTATTTTAATGTTTCTTATTCCTTGTTTGCCCTTAAAATTAATTAATTCTTTCACATATATTTATATATTTTTTATTACATTATTTATTAATTATTTAGATATATTTTCTTCTAATAACTTATAAATTCATATTTATAAATTAACAATAATTATTTTTTATATGTCAATTATCTTATTTATAATTTTTTTTATATTTTAGAATAAAAATAATACAAAAATATTAATTTTATTGAATCAATTATATAGCATTTTTTATCACATAATATTTTTATTAAAAATGAATATATTTATTTAAAATTATAAATTTAATGTAAATACATTTTCAATAAATTTGTATTAATTCTTTATAAAATATTTTTAAAATAATAAAAATAAATATCTTACTAAATTTTTTCTAATTTTTAAAATTAATAATAAAATTATAAAAAAATCTACCCACCAAAAAAATTCAACTAAATATTCTGAAAATAAAATATTAAATGTCCTTAATTGTCATTTTACTTATAAACAACTAATATCAAACATCTATTTTATCAAACACTTTAATACAAACAACTAATTGATTCAGCTAGTCAAACCAGCTAATTGAATCAGATAACATCTAACAACTAATCGAATCACCTGTCAGCTAATTGCCAAACACACCCGGTGTTTGACAAAATAGCTTTTGAGGGTGTTTGACAAAATAGCTTTTTGAATAGCTTTTAGCTTATTGAATAGCTTTTAGCTGTTTGACCAATCAAACATCTAATTTAGATGTTTGGTAAATTAACTTTTTGGAATAGCTTTTTGGACCAAAAAAACTAATTTATGAAAAGCTTGCCCAACGTTTTGAAATAGCTTTTCCAGTAAAAATACTTTTATTCCTTATTTGCCCTTAAAAATTTATTATGCATTTTACACCAATAAATACATTTTGATTATTTATTAATTATAATAGAATATTTTATTATATTATAGTTTTACTTTTATAAATTTAAAATAATTATTTTTTATATAAAAATTATTTTAATTGAAAAATATATAAATTTAATAAGATCAACACAAAATAGAAAATATAAATATTAATAATTTATTTTTATATTAAAATTACATTATAAAAATTTTATACTAAAAATAAATTAAATAAATTAAATATATTAAAAATTATAAATATAATGAACTAATCGATAATTAATATAATAAATATATACACGAAAAATTTATTATTTTATATTTTACATCATTTTTAATAAAAAAATTATTTCTATTTTTTGATAAAAATATATTATGTTTTTTAAGTCTAACTATAATAAAAATAAAGATTATTTTATAACACTTTTACAAATTTCAATAACTAATAACAAAATTTTTTTAAACATTCTAAACTCAAAAGAACACAATTGAATATGTTAGAAAAAATAAAATAGAAATGTCTTCAATTGTCATTTTACGTATAAACAACTAATATCAAACAGTTGTTTTTTACCAAATATTTTAATACAAACAACTAATCAAATTAGCTAGTCAAACCAACTAATTGAATCAGCTAATTGAATCAGCTAACAACTAACCGTTATCAGCTAATTGCCATACACGCTCTTAGTATTGTTTGGTTAGTCTTGATGCCTTATACATGTTGCATTTGACCTTTGATACTTAGACTACCTAGGCTTGTGTGGTCTATTTTGTTTGACTTTGACTGTATAGCTTGTATCAGCAGAACTACGTATGGCTTGATCCCGATTGGGTACGTAGGCATCCTACTTTGGGTGCAGCCATTAAGCTACTAGTTGATCCAATTATTTTTTGGTCACCGCACTACCGCCACTACCTTCATCAGCCCCAAAAAACCCTCAACTTGGTTACTCGCACCTCCGTGTCGCCGCGGGAGACGCAGGTGCTTCCCCCGATCAAAATCTGTCCAAAACTGCATCACTGAAAAACTACCCCTCCAGTCAGGTTTATGGTTTAGGATTTAGGGTTTAGAGATGCGACTTGGAAGATACCTCATATATACGGAAGGGAACCTATCGCGAATGCCTTAGCGACTCTGGCTGTTTCTTTTTTGATTGAGCAGACACTTTTCCCGTCACATATCTCTTCGTCGATCAAAAGTATCTTTCGAGCGGATATAGAGGATCTCCCGACTTTCCATTTCAGATAGCAAGCTTCACCCTCTTATTTGTTTTTTGGAACTGTTGATGTTACTTAGACTTGATAGACTTAGTATTGCTTGGTTGATGTTGATCCCGTTTTGGAACGTAGGCACTCACTTTGGGTGCAACCATTGATATAGAGTTTTACAAAAATAAATCTTAAATCCTAAACCCTAAACCATCCACCGACATCCCAACCACCGGAAAACCTACCCCGAC